GGCGACTTGATCCACAAAGCTATAGAGCACAACGCTACAATATTCACTGCGGCATGGCACATCTCATTCCAGCACGGCACAGCACAGCACAGTCCCTGGCACGGTACACCATGATCCATACCTTCAGCATTGCAACTTCCTGTCGCCCAAGCAAGCAGACGTCTTGAAAACGTGGCCATGCCCTCGCATTTCTAAATTCCTTTCCAGGGTCGTGGGTCGACCATGTCTTCTTCGAGAAGGACCACCCCACTGGTCATGGCCAGGCCCGCCCTGTGCCGAGGATCGGCTCGGCCAGGATCGGTGGGGTGATCCAGCCCCCAGGCAGCCGACGATGCGACATTTGCTTCTCCAGCTCCGCGGGCCCAAAAGGAGGTCGCGAACCCTTCCCCTGGGGGCGTGTCTTTGCCCTGGATCCGACGGTGACGGCCCGGGGGCTCCAAAGACGCCCCCCACCCCATGAGCCGAGATCGAGGCAAAAGCGAAAGGGATGGATCGGTGAGGTGATCAGCTGACGCCCGACCCTCCAAGATGAATGCCCCCTCGGGGGGGGGGCATCGGAGGGGCCGCCCCGGGAGCTCACCCCTCCTGACAAAGACGGCACCATCTCGCCCTTCTCCGCACTTCCTCTTCCTCCTCCTCCTCCTCCTCTTCCTCCTCCGCATCTCCTTTCTCCTCTTTCTCCTCTTTCTCTTTCTCCTCCTCCTCCTCCTCATTCTTCTCTTCCTCCACTGCGGCCTCCGCCTCCTCCTCCTAGACGTCCCCAGACTCTGAGATATGACATCACGAAAACATGCAACACCGTGGAACTTGATGGACCCACGAACCTGGTAATGAAATCAAGTCAAATAATATGCTGCAAGACTTCGCTGGTGGCGCCTCCATTTGTGAGGATGTCTCCGACGAGAGCCAAGCTCTTGAAGGTACGTCGAATTCGGGAGCTCACTGAACATCTTCCTTTTTTTCTGAGGATGTCTGCAGCGAAACGCTCCACCACACCAAGTTCAGTATCCAACGCCCGAGCTCAGCATCTCAGTGTTCAGAGGATGCCGCGTGCGAAAGCTTCATTTTCGAGACACGGCGTCATCAAACAAGTTCTGATACATTCCCATTCCATTGTGCGAGGATGTCTCAGGCGAAACGCCTCCCCCTGCACACAGACACACACACACACACCATGTTGAATATTTGGTGCTCGATCTCCAACATATCATTATTCCGAAAATGTCTAAAGCGAAACAACTCCTCAGACATTCCCGTATTGCGAGGACGTCTCAGGGGGATCCACCCTGGCGACACCATGCTGGATATCCGGCGCTCAATCTCCAACATCTCAAGTTGTGAGGATGTCTCTGGCGACAACTTCACGTCTGAGAACCAACGTCGAAAAACAACACTTCTAGCATTCCAATATTGGAAAGAGCGTGTTCTACCGCTGCTGGCGGAAAACCGGGGGGGTCACTACCGGTTCGAACCCCTCCCCCCCCCCCCCCCTCCGGAAAACCGGGGGGGTCACTACCGGTTCGAACCCCTCCCCCCCCCCCCAGCTCATCATGAAAAGGAGGGGGGGGTCACTACCGGTTCGAACCCCCCCCCCCCTCGAAAACCGAGTGGGGGTGCGGACAGAGGTGGGGACGGTGTTGGTGGGACAGTGGTGAGGGGACAGCGGGACAGTGGTGGGGACAGTGGGACAGTGGGACAGTGGGGGGACAGGGCCGGTAGTGGTGGGGACAGTGGTGGGGACAATGGTGGGAACAGGGGGGACAGTGGACAGTGGTGGGAACGGTGGTGGTGGGGACAGTGGTGTGGGGACAGTGGGAATGAGGTGGAAACACTGGGACAGTGGAGGGTACAATGGTGGTGGAGACACTGGTAAAGGCGGTGGCGAGGACGGCGGTGGGACAATGGGACAGAGGTACAGTGGGGACAGTGGTGGGGACAGTGGGGACAGTGGTGGAAACAGTGTGGACAGCTCAGTGGGACAGCGGAGGAGTCAGTGGGACAGTGGGGACAATGGGGATAGGCAGTGGTTGGGTCCGTGGAGACAGTGGGGAGAGTGGAACCGTGGTGGGAACAGTTGTGGGAACAGTGGGGACAGTGCGACAGTGGTGGGGGCATTGGTGGGGACAATAGGGACGGTGGTGGAACCAGT